CTTCGTTAGTTACTGACTAGGATGTTTCTCCTCTTTCGATCAGCTGAAAGGTAACAACGTTCGAATCCTTCGTCCCCGCCCCCTTCCCACTCGTTTCTGTCCCAATGGCGATTCCAAAATCGAGTCTTACGAATTACAATTAATTCGATTAACGGCTAGAACTAAGTGTTTCCGCTATTCTATTATGCGCTATGACCGCACTTATTAATTTTTCTTCCTTTTATAATAAATATTACAACTATGTACAAGTTCGGATCAAACGTTCACGCCTATAATCACACCTAGAATCGAAAGTTCCCGTTCCCTTTCGCGAACAGTCTCCCATGTATATTTCACACATGTGAACAATTTTTCACCCGTTAACCGGGGATCATTCAGATTAGCTTATCTGTATCTCTATTAATTTTTCCCCCCTTGATTCATTTGTATAGCCGAATATTTTTCAATTGAATTGTACTTAGTATCTGCGACACCATTGACACGTTGACTGCCATGGTCACCGGTGACCGAGCTTCAAAATTTCTTAACAAATGACTTGGATGCCATAACATTGATTTTTTGAAATTGTCACGCAACTCTTGGAGAAATGAATTTGCATTTTTCTATTTTCGCAGCTCATTGCAATTTGTCTGCGAACGTGTTAAATGCAATTACAATAAGAAAACCGATGTCGAATAAAAATAGTAACAGCTAGATATATTTATTATATCTTTTATAGAATAATTATTTTTAATACATATGGAATTCTCGTGGCAGTCAACGTGTTAATTACATCGCGCTTAATTACTTGCAGATTAATTACTCTAATTCATCTTGGATCTACGTAATTATTGAAGTACTAAAAATCACCCGGTTAACAGGTTAAACGCGTTTGTTATTCCCATTCGCGGTAATTGTGATTCGTTTGACCAATGAAGAGCATGACTGTCTTCTTGCCTGCGATTTTTTCCTCCGTTCTTTCTGTCTTATCAAACATCAGTTAAGAAATGGTGAAAAAGAAACGGTAGAAGAGAACGATATTCGTATCTTAATGAAATTTGTAACATCTAAATTGAAAGTTTGATATATCACACTTAATAATCCTGCCTCTCGCGCATTTACTCGCTTGTCTCTTTCTCTCTGTCTCTCTTTCTCTGACAACATACTTCTTACATGCTCTCTTTCTCTCTCTCTCTCTCTCTCTTTATTTTTATTTACAGGCTCACTGAATAGGATGCGGAATATAAAGTCGTCCGCCGCTTTCGTTGCAAATATCTTCATTGAATGATTGTTGGGCCTTCGACAGGTCGTAAAGGAAGACTTTGCGCTCCGCAAATAATTCAATCTTCTTTTGTTTCCACTTTCTCTTGGATACAACACTCTGGGCTTTGAGAGAACTTCTTTGCCTTCTTACCGATAAGAATACCATTGTACAATGATACAACTGTATGAGCCATTTTAATGTTAACGCCTTCGGAAAGGATCTCAGATGTTTTGATGTTACTTTTCACAGCAATGAACAGCAAATTAGAATTTCAAGAATTTCCTGTCTCTCTGACCGATAATAATACAAACGTTCGAATATTTTCAGAAAAAAGTAACAGTATTCTCATCGACGGTACGCTTCAAGGGAATATAAATCCTACTAATATGTTCTCCCAAGAAAAGAAAAGAAAAGGAAAATATTCTATAAACTGGTTCGCTGCTGATAGCCAAGATCGACATTAAAAACAGAAACAATAAGAACGTGACATACACGACTCTTGCGTTTTCACCGTGTTTTGTACTTAAAACGTATGCTTGCCAGAATGTCGGCGAAGTCGTTTATTACCTATATAATTTACGATCTTTTAAATCTTTCAGTTCACGAACGGTTGCTAATAATTATTGTTTTGCCATCGTTATGTCGGAGTACTTTTTCATTTTTGTAAAAATCCTCGGACGCTCGACGCCTCTAAATTTAAATATTAACGCTGATAAATATACATCTATTTATATATATATATCATTCGTTCTGTGTTTTCGTGCGGTAACTTCTTATATGTATAATATATTTATATATCAAGTATATTCCTCGCAGAGACATGTAAAGTGTATGTACTCAAACGTTTCGTACAGACAAATCAATGAGAAATCACGTTCGCGCGATATTCTTTACTCGACAAGAGTGTAAAAAGGATATAAAAAACCGTGTTCGCGACAGAGATGGGCAAAATTGTTGAGTTCCGTACAAAATCATTATATTCGTACAACGAAGAAACTCGTTTGCCATGACGGAAACAAACGTACAAATATTAATTCGAAACTAAAGTAATATTTCACATACTTTGAACGAATAAACGGATATTAAAGAAATATATATCATCAATCATTCGAAGGTAATTTTTCCCATCTCTAGTCTATGATTATTACGTATCACTCTCACTCTCTCTCTCTCTCTCTGCATATTCGCGTGGTCTCGTGTTCGTGTAAATATCGATGAAAAATTGAACCTCCTACAGAGCAGTATAACAATATCGTTCGATATAAAACTGAACCGAAGTGAACGGTGTATAGGAATGAAGTTCGTATGACAAAGTACAAATATTAACAAGCTTAGAGTACTAACAGAAGAGAAAATAGTAGGCCATGAGACGTTAATTATTTAACAATTCTAAATCGACCGTTGACGAACCATCGCGGCGCTCATTAAGAATGGCTCATAAAAGGTAAAAACGGTTTCAATGTTTACCTCGCTAAGTTTGTGACCTCCCGACCGACGGTTAGAGAAAACGGTGGTCTGCCGTTGTGTAGCCCATTTAGGCGACGTTAAAGTCGGTACTTTAACGTTCAATCGTTTGAAACCTGTACGAGCTAAGAAGCCGATACTTCGCAGAAACGTTGATTCCGTTGGCACCAACATAAAACGCTAAGAACCGGAAATTATTCTACCTAGTGTGTGTGTGTGTGTGTGTGTGTGACAGGAGATCCTTCATGGGAATAGTTTCGAAAACATGGCGAGTTATACACTCAATAGGCAAGCTAGACTCTAGACCTTGTGCATCCTCGTGTTTGTAGTTTTCAAAAATGAAAAACTAACAAGCAATAAATACAACGACGATGAAATCCTCCTCTCTAATTATATCCAGCGTTTCGCGTGTTCCATTTTTTGCTCGTGTGCCTCTTAGTCGAGAAGCAACGATCATTTACAGAATATAGGCTAACATAAAATGATATAATCACTGTACACGATATACAAGTACAAAATCTCGGATATACAAGACCCTCCTCTTCAAAGTCAATCACCCTTATTCTTTCTCTCGATATTAAAGATTCACGTGAACGATGCCGAGGGGGAACGCTCGAGTTTTTCTATTCCCCTCTCGGTGTTTTGCGCAGAAAATCCCCATACGATATTATTAATCTAAATGTACGTCAGTTATCCATAACTAATGAATTCCTGCTCACTTCTGACACGTCTGCGTTTCCATCTTCACGTGAATTTTTACAACGTAAAATCCCCCACCGGAAACTCCTCCGTTCCAAGTTATCTTTCTCGCCCCCATTTGTTGCTCTCACATTCACCGCGGACCTCGATCTTGTCGCTACATTCGTTAGCGTATCCGTTGAAATTTGAAAAACGTTGCCAAAAAGCAACTGATCCCCCAGTTTTTTGATTTGGGAAATTAGTCGAGAGAGAGATATTCCCAACTCGCGGACTTTCTATAAAAGTTGAGACGTCGTACCGACGTACGTATTTCCCCGCACGTTCCCCGAAGATTTCTCTAAAAAAACTGCGGATGTATAAATTTGTTCGATTCCCCCCGAATCGTATAAAACTCCCGATTTCCCGAAAACTTACGGTTTAAACGTATTGTATAAATTTCACCATATCAAAAAGTTTACCAAACGATAATTGAGCTTTCCCGGGTACACGTTATAAAACGAAAATGCATATTCAAAGATACGCACGTAAATCGTTAAAAAGGTTTTGACACGCGGCGTTCAATAAAGTTCCTCGAAAAAGGTGACGTCGTGGCGCGGATCCTTGAGATCGTTTAACACTCAGCGAATAATGCTGTATCAGCTAAGAAAACAAATTGGGTTGATCGATCGATAATTAACGATCACTGAAATAAAAAGGATTCCGTTTAAACTCACGCCGAACTGACCCAGTTGCCGTTCGACCTTCAGATATAATTTTCTATTCGATTCAAAGCGAAATGTTTTTCCCATTACACGAGAAGCAACGAATAAAACGATTCTAATCTTAAATTCGTTGCATAAACGTCTCTCGCGCGGCTGAAAAGTTAGCCTCCCTTTGGTAATTTCATGTTACCTTAAAGGCGTGTGCGAGTTAATGAGTCGGTAAAATAAAATTATACAGTCCGATCAAGAAAATAATAGCCTACGACCGATCTCGCGAAGAGCTGGAAACAGAAACTTCATGGACCTTAATTACAAGATGGCAGTTTACACGATTTAGATGTATCGTGATTACAGTTCTGTGACGGCGTACAGATTAGGATCGCTGCCCTGTACTTGGCTCAACGTCGCCACTGTCGTCTTATTATCCTGCCTGGATTGCGCCCGATTGTACGTTCCGTACATGTTAGGCACGGCGCTGCCCTGCGCGGCGCCGTTAAATTGGTTCCTCGTGAAATTCCTGTCCAATGTCCGCACCTGGTCTTGCATTTGATCCTGGATGCGAATGTTCGGCGCTTTGTTGCGCACCAGCGACCTAAATTGATTCATGTTGGTCTGGGAGCGCGACTCGAACTCCCAGGTCGGCTGGTTGCTGGGGTTTGGCGGCAACGGACGATTCTGATTCCAAGCTGGCGTCGGGCCCCTCTTCAGGTTCGCCAGATTCTTCGGATCCAATGTTTGCGTCTTCCGGGAGTCTTGGAACGTGGCCAGATGCGCGGGTCCATGCGAATTGTGAGACAGGGTTCCGGTGAAAGACGCCACGCTCGGTGTCCAAGGTGGTTCTCTACCTGCAATCGAGAATCATCGTTAGATCTGTTGGGAATGTTACCCCTTTGCGCTCCGGAGACGCCTCTCAGTCGCCAATTCATTTGACACAGTGAAATTGTAAAGTTTCATATTTAACCCTTTGCACTTGGGAGATGACTCAGTCAACAGTTGATTCGCAGTAAAACTAACATCTGATGTTTAATGAAATATTGGAATAGCTTTGTTCAATGTACTTGTGATTTCCCTTAGAGTTAGTTACAAAGAATGTCTTTATCTTGTCAAGAAATATGAAATATTTCTAGAGAGAAACTTCCTAGTGCAAAGGGTTAATATTACACTTTGTATAATGCAATAATGTGTGAAATATTGAGAGAAAATAGATTCCTTCCACAGTCTATGCGTGATTTCTTGACTAGTTGATTTTAGAAAATGTCTTCTGCGTCACGTTAGAAGGTATTATGTAAAGGGTTGTTCATTGGGTTTATCGTTGAATGAATTGTTATTACCGGGCCCTGCGGGGGCGTGCCCTCAGTAAAAATCACTGGATTCTAGTGTTTTGCACTGTTTGCTCAGAGTCGCGTACTGGCCAGGTTGATCTCCGAGTCCAGAACGGTGCTCAGCTCGTCCACCTGTCGACTGCTGATTATGCTGAGACGATTTGTGATCCCCGCCTCCTCCGCTCCCGTTAACACCCCCACCTCTGTAAATGGGAAGCCGAAACGAACAAAGTTGCAGCATTATCTTTCTCTCGGACGGTTCTCTCTGATATCTAATGTATATCTCCTATTCGTCAACATTCGTTTATCATAGAACAATCTATAGACAGAAATAGGCACGAACGCTATTGAAAAAGAAAAACGCAAACACGCACAGCAGCGTACTATCTCTCTAACGCCCTGATTAGAAGATTAAATAATCCTCTTTAAACACCGATCACACGAATATAGAATAATTCTTTTTTTTTTTAAAAGGTTTCTAGAAGAATTTAGTGAATAGTCTGACAATTAGCGATATAAACATTTAAACGAAATTATTAATTGTACAGTTATTGTTCTGAGTCTATCCGGTATTGGAAACTTGTGATCCGATCGTAATTGTTAACTGACAATTCCTTTGCGGTTGACGATCAATAACTGTACTGTTGCATGTTATGTTGCCCTCATTGGGGACAGCGTACACAATTAAAGCGACATTCATGTCCTGACAATACCTAAGACATTGAAAAGTCACATTGTAAACTATAACTGAATCCGTCAAACACACTGTTAATAATAATAACGGTAAATTAACGCATCTCATAACTGTTAATTAAAAACGTACATTGTCTATTAAGCGAACGGTTAGATAAAGATTTGATGTAACAACGTTACACACGTCTCGATAAAAATCCAATGGCAATCGTAAGTCTCACGAGTTCTGCTCAATGAAATTGAATTAGAATATTTCTGTACCTCACATCAAGTCTTCAATTCATTGGTAATTACGAAAAAGGGACAATTTTTCTTGTATTATCCTAGCGGCTCATTCAATGCTGCCACGAGATCGCAACAAATTACTTTTGCAAAGAGAACGACAAACTGGAAATCACTCGCAAGATGTTTCTATAAAATTGTATCCCTTTGCACTGGTACTACGATATTAATTCAAGTAAATCTCACAGTTCACACTGCTCTCTGTAACGTTTAATCTTTATCGCAACGACTGCTTTCAGAAATTCAAACTCACTATCAGTATATACTACTACCTTCCAGGTTTTCATTGACAACCGTACTCAACTAAGACACACTACCAGCTATTCTCAAGTTTCCGTTGAATGTCCCCTGCGACAAAGATTAAAGGTAGCTAAGAAATAAAACAGAATAAAAACTCATGCACAAACTTTAACATGCTCTCGTGCAGCTGACGTGCTCGAGCAGTCGCAGTAGCGTAGGACGGCGGGGGCGGCGTTAGCAAGAGAGGCTGCTTAATGGTATTTTGAGTGCCATGAGCATTCGGATAAAGAGAAGGGGCTGTAGGCGGGTACGACCCTTGGCCTCGAAGGGTCCGCGCTGCTATCGCCTGCGAGGCTGCCGACGGTGGTAGGTACGGGTCCTGCTCGTCCACTTGGTGGTAATCTCTTCTAGAACAAACTCGTCATCAATTATACCGCACCAACAGAAATGACAACGTCTCCGTACGAGCCACACGCGTGCACACTCACCGCTTCCGTATGTAGATCCAGGTGTGAGAGTCCACCCAGACTAACACAGTGAAGAAAAGGCCGGCGGCTAGGCTCGCTAATAACATGAAAGTCAATCCATACCTGGGGAATTTCATTATTCATTAGCGTGGAGAGTTTTTATCAACTGATTATACATAATTTAGAGTCGCTCCAGATGAAAGACAATACAGCGGACGTACGTTATAAACTGGACGACTTCTACTAAATCAGATATTCATACCAAAGCTATAAAATACATACAAGGACATGGCACAGATAGGCTCTGGCACATGAGAATATATGGTGTTTGATAGCAGTCGTTAAAACGAAATGGATATTATTCTCTCCCTCTCTCTCTCTATTTATGTACTCATTTCCTCTTTACGCGTGCACGTTTACCCCGCCGCAATTCCTTTTTTTTTATCCCCCTCCGCCACTGACTCCGTAACAAGCTAAGAACCAAGAAAACTTAGAGATCCACTTACAAGCCCAAATGGCATAAGCTCTTAGCAGCGTGAACATACTGCTTATGGAGTGGTTTGCAATCGAGCAACGTGGCCAGGCCAGATATCAGTCTGTCGACGGAGCTCACGTGGTTTGTCAAGCTAGTGAGCTTCGGTTGCATCTTCTGGTCTTTGAACAGCTGCAACGCCAGCCTCGATATTGTCAGCAAGTTCTGCGTCATGTTCTTCACCGTGCTCTGGCCGTCCTGCAGTCTCTGCGTGAACGGATTGCTGCGCGTGTTCTCGCAGTGCGTGTAGTAGGAGAGCACCTCCGAGGCGAGCGTCGACGGTACTGCCCTGGTTAGGTAGCCGTCCGGCGACACGCACAGATCACCGAGGGCCACCGATGTCGCCAGGTACAACGAGGCCATCAGCCATGATACTATCACAGCGAACAGGCCGAACACAGAAAATCTGGAAAACAACGTTCAACTCCAGTTACTTTTATTTCAACGATATTCTAACGAAACTCCTGGTACGGTCTTCGTCTTTTAGCTTCTATGAAAGAAGAGAGTGCTTTAACGCTTTTAGATTTTAACCCCTTGCACTCGGGAGGTGACTCTTGATTTGACTCGAATTGACACAGAAATTGTGAAATCTGATATTTAACGTTGAATTTTTCATAACGCCTTGATACGTGAGATATTGGAATAAAATAGCTTTCAATGAACTTGTGATTTCCCTTCGAGATAGTTTCAAGAAATATCATCTTCGTCAAATATATTTCTAGTGAGAAACTAAGTGCAAAGGGTTAATTAGTAAAACCGTTAAAATTCAAATGAAATGTCAACCACTTGTCTTACGAATTCCATAGGTGCATTAGAACTAATTATCATTAATACACTAGTAAAAGAACTAGCATAAACCATACATTTTGCTAACAAGAATGTTTCATTTCAATTGAACTCAACGACATTCGTTAAACCATATTATAAATCTTCGCCTCTGACACGACACTGCAAGGCAAGGGGTTAACCGCGTTTTTCATGGTTCACGAGTACCCCGCGAGTATAGGTACTCGAACAGATGGCAGAAATAACTGTTAGAATAACAGACTTCGCCCGACCAAGAAGAAGCGATCCAAGCGAGAGCTAGTTGGATCCAGATGGATCTCTTTTCGCATGGTTTTTTCTGTCGACACGTACGTTATGAGAATGCATCTGGAATGTCTCGCGACACCGACGACCAGCACCACGCAGAGAACCAGAAGCGCGCTGAGGACGGTCATGGTTATGGGCCACCTGAACTGTTCGATCTTCTCCCCCATCTCGATGGCACCGGCGAGACTGATCCCGCTCAGCGGTTTCCGTATCTCGAAGCTACGGTTCACGGCGATGCTTGTGTTCTCCTTCATGTTATTTAGAGCGACCAACAGCAGACTCAGCGCGGTCATGTTGCCCGCTGGACCGTCGAACTCGTCCCCCAGGGCAACCAGGCCTGGTTGGATTTTCTTCTTCAACGTCGTCTCTATGGTGTCCGTCTTTAACAAAATTGAATAACATGAGAACAGTGGATGAAGCGTGTAGATAAATCAGCGGATGGTTTGCAGATAGAGCAGAGTAGTTAATGCGATTAACCCTTTGCAGACGAAGATTCTTCGAAACATACAAAACTTTCAGCGAGATACAACATCCTTTGTATCTCGATGTCCCGCGTTGCCCGCGCCGCGGTTCGTTCAGCAGCGTGCGTCCGCGTCAATTTTCTTCGCGGCATTTCGTCGTCCGTCCGTCCATTCGGCGTCAGCGGTACGCGTCCGTACTTTAATCACGGAGAGTAGACCCGCAACCTTCTCGTAATTAGTTTGCGCTCCACTTTTTTCGCCGCGTTTAAATGCGGCCGCCTTGGCTCGCGCTCGTTAATTTGGGTCAAGAATGGCGCGGACAACCGTAAGGGAAGCTGCCCGCCCGAAGGAGAGGAGGCCGAGATACGCGGCGCAGATAAATAATCCGATTTCCCGTCATCCGGCGAGTTTCGGGTTTTTTTAAATTAAAGATTTTATCCGGCCGGCTCAGCGGTGCGCCGAAGATCGCGCGAAGGGATTAACTCGATATTTGATGAGCTCGGGACGGAAGCCCCGCCATTTTATAGACGATATTGCTATATCAAGGACTTCCGTTTCTGCCGGGAGAAGTCTTTTGCTGACTCGCGGCAAAAGTGCTCCACGTTTCGGTGGAAGTAACGGTTTGAATGGTCACGCGACTAACTTCTTAATAACTTTTTCGAGGTAGATAACATACGACGCTGCCCCTTTCTCGAAATTTGGGGATCTAAGCAAGGAGGGTGAGAACCGAATGATCTAACTTCTACCGTTAATGTAGGACCTTTGGTCCAAGGTAACATTCGAGACCCTTAACATTCAAATAATCTTATATTAACCCTTTGAACTCTGTAGGCTCCAATATTAACTACCCTAAATTACTACACAAACTACCCTATAATTATTAAATTTTTCACACATCCAAATTTTCTACTAAGAAGGAAAAAAAGGATCTAAGAAATGTTATAGCATTTTTCATTTTCGCTAGGGATACTATAAAAATTAGTTGCAGTTGTCGATAGATTACAAAACCATCTGGAGTGCTAAGGGTTAAGAAACTCTGCTCTAAAATATCCCTATGGTGCCTAGGATGAATACGTGAACATTTGCACCCTATAATGAGGACTGTTTTATTATTGTTGACTTAGTACAACGCAATTGACAATAATCAAACTGTTTACATCCTTCATCGTAAGGTTGAAAGGAATAAAAGGAATGTCCTTCGAACAGTGGTACCAACCTGATTCCGTACACCCATAAGGATACCGTCGACGTTCTTCGCGGCGGCGACCAACTGCACCAGACCGTTGTGAACGTCGTCGTTGCCATAGAGGCCGACGGCAACGGCACCGCTGCAGAGCAACGCCAGGATGGCCAGCGAACACTTCAGCAGGGTTATCGACCTCCTGGGGCGCGGCTTCCGGTCGCAGCATCTCGTTACCAAGTATACCAGCAACACCAGCAACGTCAGGATTAACCAGGCTGCGGGTATACTCCCAAGTATCCCGAGGCTCTGTCGATTTAAAAGTTAAACGTTAGTTATCGACGCAGATCCCCGTCTTCTTGTTTTGTAATTAAAACGCGTCACGTGGAGCACGCGCGCGCGCGCGTTACTATCTACGAGTTCTCAGTCCCGTACACTTCTCTCTCTCGCTATCTCTCTATCTATCTCTCTTTCTCCCGTGCGCGCACCCACCGCGTCTTAATTAGATCTGAAAACCGTCGGTGGATTTCCTTTTTCGAAATTTCTCTGATCGCTAATGAGCCTGGGACTTTTTAATTAATGCTCAGGCCGGCGGCGTCCTCTGACACCGGGTACCGTTAATTAAGATTAAGCCGAGGCTTCGCGCGTTCGAAAATTCCCTAGGCGCCGACGAACGGCGGGACAGACAAACGGACGGACAGACGAGAAACGTGGAAGGAACTAGGAGGTTTCCCGAACGGAACAGACGAGTACCATCGATTGATACGCAGTTATTAACCGACGGTCGATAATCTGAACGTTGAACCGAATCGCGCGCCGGTTGTCGGCCACAGGATCCGACTAATTGGACCACGGTGCACGGGGCCCGATTGGAATTTATTATTGGCCCGTGAGTCTCGAGAGTCTACGGATCGACTCTCGTTGATCCTTTTTACCTCGCCGACTCGATTAACATGCGGCAAGGATGGCCTAGGTGTTATTGAATACGTGTCACGAGGAGTGAGACAATTATCGCGGATACCAGGTGAGTCATAAAACTGGTTGCATGTGTTACGCTGCCAGGAACAATGAATGTTAATGATCGTTCGCGCTGCAGCCTTCAGATAACATTACCATCTTGTAATGGATTGCTACCCTGAACATCGCCGCCGATATGTATATATATATATATATATATATATATGTATTCTTGTTCCTTTTAATTGCATCGCGGAACGTGGAACTCGGTATCCGAGGCTGACGTCAAAGTGCAGATCAGTCAAGGTCATTAAAGGGGAGATACCATTACAGCATCTGTAACCGAGACGCGTATAGTCTCGTTCGAAAGTGCTAGAACACCTGTCGCGGTCGCAAAAACTCCGAACGGTAGAAACGAGGGTTTCGATGTTTAACACTAGATTTTTACGAGCCAATTTTACTCGAATTGAATTTTATAAGGATTATCTGGTGAATCTTTGGGTCGGGTTAACACTAGATTCATGGAATGTGACAATTTTAGTCGTATTGAATTTTATAAGCTTGGTGAATGTTTCGATTTCGAGTGATTCAATTACGTGATTATGATAATAGTATATTTTTAAACATTCGATTTCCTAGATCTAAACGTAAATCTAGTGTTCACACTAGAACTGCCATTCCTGATTCCTACTTTTTACAGTTGCTGCAAAGATAACAGATTTCTCGGAGAAATTACTGTGGAAATTGATTTAGCGACAGAGAAACTGAATTGTAAGTTGATAGAGATTTCAATAGTACCACTGAAAAATTTCTCAAGGTTAAGATTACTCAAGGATTTGGAGGTTTGAATATTTAAGAAAATAGCAACCTACAGTTAGGAGAATTAATTATTATATTCGAACATTGGCAAATGTTTTATGCATTGTCGCAACTGCGCGGGCTTTCGCAAGGAAAAACTTTAGATCCTCTTTCGTCGAAGTGATTATTACCAACTCGGACGGATCTGATCAATACGATATTCTGGAGTTGATTTGCCTTTCTAAAGCAAGCAAAGTTTGCGAGAGAGCTCCGGGGTCCGGGATTAAAACGAAGTGGGCAGGAACACGCCGGGTAAACTAGGTACTCGAAACTCGATAAACTTGATCATAAGTAACCGGACAATATCGTTTCCCAGTATATTCCCCAGGTCTCTAGAATCTCGAGTCCCGAGGGCGCGGACCGAGAATCTTACAGGAAGAAATAAGTTCAGGCTCCGAGTGAAATCACGTTGACACAATGTTTAACTGCCAGTTAGCCGTGTGTTTTCTCGTCTCTTTCATCGTTTGTCTTTAACACGTTTAGCGCCACGAAAATCTTAAGCGTTTCTTCGTAGAGTTCTTCTTTTCATTAATTTACAACGTTTGCATTACACTGTTATCAACTTAGTTATTAAACTTTCTCATTTCACGTTGGTTATCTTTATGTTACGATTGTTTTCTAGTCATTAAGAAGCGTCAATCATCGGTGACTGACATGGCGCTCAACACGCTTAATTATATTTTCTTCAATCCAATAAATCTAAACAAAGCATTAGAAAAATGAAACTAAAACGAGAGTTCCTAAGTATAATATAGTTTATCATTGCTAATAACAATATCTATAGGATTCACTTCATTTTCATTATGTAAAATATAAGATTACGGCCGTCGCAAATATGTGAAATTTTAGCGAACGTGTTGAAGTGGAAAATTCGATTTAGAAAGTTTATTTATCAGCGTCAGCGAAATACGGGATAGTCATTAGTGCTGTGCGATTACACTGATCCGTAGTTATCTCTCCGTGAAATTTGCATCTCATAGGAGTGCGGTGGATTTCGGATGCAACCGAAATTCTGAATTCCGTTTCGCGAAACGAACCTCGCGTTCAGGTCAGAAGGACTTCGCGGGTCACCCCTTGGCGGCACGGAAAATTTGATTTTTCCGTGGCGATACTCAAAAGCCTGTATGTCGCATGTCACGGGGTCAACCACCGGCGGATCGCGTGCTGCCCCGTGAAACTCGATGAATCGACCCGAGAGAGTGTGTTCACATTGTGTTCATTATTTACGCCGCATCGATAGAAGTTCTTTTGTAATCGCGGCGCCTGAAACTTCGAGTAACGGCGACGCGCCGCTCGATACCGCGGCTTTTCGATATCTAATATTCATTCTTGCGCCTGTCGTTCCGCGCGAAATGTTCGGCGCGTGTCACCGCGACAGGAAATATATCCGTTCCACCCTATCATCGAAAACTTCGCCGACAGGCGAGAAGTCGAAGGAAAAACGCAAGCGTTCTTGGATTTATCTTTCTTTGCTGAACATCCGCCTAGTCTTGGAGAAAAACTTCACGAAACAAGTGTCTATGAATACAGTTCATAAACAAAGGTCGTGGAAGCTACGTGAACAAAGATATTCACGAATTTCACCCTTCGCGCTCGGAAGTTTCTAGAAATATTTATTTTTTGACAAGATGAACACGATTCTTTGAAACTAAAGAGAAATGTCGAGAGTGCGCACTGGGGAAGGAAACTTCTTTCAATATTCCACATATTTATGCAAATACAAAGTATAGTATTAACCCTTTGTACTCGGAAGTCTCTCGCTAGAAATATTTCACATTTTTCGACAAGATGAAGACGATTCTTTGAAACTAACTCGAAGAGATTCAAGTACATAGAGGAATAAAGCTGTTCTTCCAATATTTCACGCATCGAGGCATTATACGAAGTTCAACGTTAAATAGATTTTATAGTTTCACGCGTCGAGAATCAAATGGCGAGAGTCACCTCCCGAGTGCAAAGGGTTAAAGGTACTATGTACGATCTGATAGATAATTGCGCAGATACAGAATTGTGTTCGTAGAGATTCGAGTTGTTGAGAAAAATATTTGATACGTATCATCGTCTGTTGGACGACGACGGATTCCACGCCTGAAGGATCGCAGACGCGGCTGGAACGAACGCGCGCGGTGTATGTGGAAGGCAAGGACAAGGTTCAGAGAGTGTAGGGTTTTCATTAAAGAAAAATTCAGTTCTCGAGAGGTTAAGAAGTGGCCGAAACTTGAGAACTCGAATCGTGTCTAGACAGGCATTCACTGTTTACGGAACACGCGGGAAAGACGGTCGTTGCACCTACTGCGACGCAAGCTCCGGAATAAATCCGGAAGAGGGCTCGAGATGAAGAGAGGACAGAGGGGTAGAGGCTTCGAACTTTTGCGGGACACACGGGGTAGCGTGTAAAATCGCAAATGGATTCTCTTTCGAGGCTCGCGGACGCCCGACAGAGTAAGTAAATACGGGCGCGGAGCCCTACGTGCGCAGAAAACGCGTGACTTCTTTTGTTCTCGCCGCGCTCAACTGCCCCGTGCTATGGACCCACGGAATCAGAAGGTTTTTGCATCAATTTTAACCCTTAGCACTACAGGTTGTTATGTAATCTATCAGCAACTGCAATTAATTATTATAGTATTCATAGCGAAAATGGAAAATCGAATAATTTTAGGGTAGTTTCTTTAAGATTCATTAAAATATTTAATATCATAACTGGTGCAATATCGGAGCCTACAGAATTCAAAGGGTTTACTCGTCCATCTATGTTACGGGACTACAATAGACAGTAAAATGGAATAATCGTAATGTCGGGAAGGGTGCTACTAGGGAAATCTTCCGGAGTGTACACTCCGTGTACAATAGACAGTGAAATGAAGTAATTGTAACGTCGAGAACGGTGCTACTAGGGGAATCTGGAACGTACAGTGCGTGAAATATTTGTAGCAATCGGATCTACCGTTTTCCACTTTTCACTTAGCAACGTATTGCCTTTTATTCTGTTTATCTTTTCTTTTGTTGTTTAGTAAGTCTTGAAGTCGGATTATTTGCGGTCCATCAAATGCGGTTCTTGTTTTTACAAAACACAGTTTCCAACCGAATTGATTTCTGAGTTCAATTGAAGATAATGGAGAAGGTTGTAGTCATAGTTCTTTTTAGGTGGTCGCCTAAGTGTTAAGTAAAAGCGAGAACACTGTGGTGCATGTACCTTTTTTCTCTCTGCAGTAATGCATTCGCCGAATGTTTTCGGAGGACTGAAACGTCCCTTGCGCGACGCGTTGAACGCAATTGTAAAATAAATCATAGGGCAAGGGTTTAAAAACATCGAGGAGCGCGTGAACGACGGGGAAAATAAATGCGCGATTAGCGTTCATAATCCGCGTACGGAAGAGGGTGGTTGCACGTGGATAGAGGTATACCCCATTACCCCACATTTGTCCAGGAACGTAATTTTATCCGGTCTTCTATCTCTCTCGACGTTTGCAATGGACGCGTCGTGCCTCCCGCCG